TGATAGCAATGATTTACCAGCAGTGAATTCAAAATTGTCCCTTCGACGTCAGCGTCCGATTGCTTCATGGCGACCAACCGATGGTCATGCATTGGAATGAACAGACTCTCGAACGATCATTATCTACCAATTGGAGACCCAAGTTCTTAACGTCCTTACTCCTTATCCTGACCTACAGTAAGGGGTCTTGTGAAACAACTTTGACCTAAGAATGCGTCCTTACCGGAAGAATTGCTCAGACAAGGCATCCTATGAAATAGACCCTTGAAAGATGTGTTCGTTTCTACTGTGACTCAGACCATCAATGCATCAACCCTCAACATTCACGTAACCATGTCACTGTGTTACCATGTTCTTTAACCATGTTCATCAATCCCAACCATGCATTTCTCACTGTGAATCACCATTAATGGGATGCCTAAGCTTGGTGTACAACTTCTCGAGCTCCTGCGTCGCACCTGGAAGTCTGTAATTTACATCTACACCAACGCTCAGTCTTCGAGTTGCCGGACTGTATCACTTCAGGAGAACATCAGTCTTGATGTGATAACATAGTAGCGACACCTCAAGAGGGCGACTATATTTGTTCTTCTATGGCAACTTTTTCACACTTGCACAGAATATGCAACTGATAATCCTCATCATCATCCTTATAAACGAATTATGTCTATGATATGCACCCTTGTAAGAGCACTGATGCCATACCGACTGCGTTACAGCGTGAATGAACACTAGTCGTATACTATTAATAATATTGGACTTTTTATGCCTTTTCCTCCGCAGTTCCGACGCGTTCCTGATGGGCAGATCGTTCAGGACACACATTTCCCCAAACTCGTCAGTGTAGAGAAGACGATAAGTAACACCTCCCAGTTGCTCGGGCCAAACCTCCTCGATATACCTCCCCAACGCTCCAGAAGCTGAAAAGCGAGTTCCACGCGCACACGAAACACTTCGTCTCCTGAATGGACACAAAGCTGAAGATTACACACTATCAAGCTACGCTATTGCTGTCGCTGACTTCGCGTAAGTTCTAGCGGATGAAGGGATGTTGTTTCTGATGAGAGTTGTTCTATCAGTAGTTTGCTAGTAGCATTCGCTCATTTTAGCTGTAGTGGTCATTTCCTAAGGCTTCAATACAGGCTGTACTGAATTTCAGTAGCTTCGATGACTGAGGATCCTGGGTCGAGGCCAAGCGAGCTATAGCCTCGAACGTCCCGTCGACATCAGGTATTCAATCATCTGGAAGAAGTCGGTCACGGCCCTTTATTAGTGGATCGACCATTATTTTTCTCGTGACAAAAATGCATTATTATAGTCCCAACCGTCCTGAAGCCGATTTACCCCGGCTCTGGGTCTCTTCTTTGGGGAAGGTGTGACGAGAGGTAATTGCTCACCTCTGGTCTGGTTTGCGTTAGAAATCCGGCCATTGCAGTTGTCGAAAGCCACAAATGTTCACGGGTTCCGTGTTGTGGTTTTCGACCACTGCCCCTCCCGAACTAGCAGGTCAGAGGTTTCAAAAACGCATGTGAGCAGTGAATTTCGTGTAAAACACGTGATGTGTTCTTCATGTGATATGCAAAACGCGGAATTATTTCGCGTTTTACGAGTTTCACGCGATATGCATGCAACTTGCTCGGAGCCACTCTCCTTGCTCGCTGGTCAACTCTGGCTCTAGTGATCCTTTAGTTCAACTGAATATCTATACATATCCATGAAATTATTCACAGAGCTGGTCGACTAGATGGTGTGGAGAGGACCCGAGACTTGCAGGGCTCCCCCCTAAAGTCGTAAATGAATAATGAATCTTCGACCAGATTCGACAATCAAAGGTTGATGGCATCACTTTCACCGTAGCGGCTAAACCGTACCCTGTATAGGTGTGCAGCGTAACGTTTTTTACGGTTTACGTTACGGTGTGCGTAACGTAATCAGTTTACGGTTACGGAAAGGCCTTAGGA